AAAAAAAAAAAAAAAAAAAGCAAAGTGGTTTCCCTGAGCCAGCTTCCCCCTCACTCGCGAGTCAGTCCTTGGTTTGACCTCAGCCGGCTGCCAAGTGAGGTTGGAAGTCACAGAAGCCGTGGCAGAAGTGTTTACACTCAATTAAAGAAACCCTGATGCTTTGCTCCCCGTATGCCGCTTAGAATCTCCATATATCTCCATACTATTGTGATGTCTGGACTCGCCTACATAAGGTGGTGCAAGATTTCCCAGATTTCCTCCATACACAATCTAGTCATAACGGGACAACCACTGTGCATTCCAAACTGCTGAAGCTTCCGTTGTATCCCCAGTCGCCCCACAAAGGCCTGAAACCAACATCATGGGACATATATGTATATATAGGAATATGTTGATAACGAGTTGGTGGAAAGAACATGGAAACTACTTTATGGTTTCAGGATGATGTTTGGGCTTGGCAGAAGCTTAGGGCCGGACTAGCTTCCTGTGCTGTTCTGAAAGTCAAGCTCATCTCCTCAGATCCATCTGCTCAGTTGCAACGATCCCAGGGCTCCTCTGGTATATTATATACTTCCCGCAGCTCATTGGAGGTTGTGGGCAGACCCGCAAAAGATTCGTGCCCTTGAGATGGAAACGGTTGCCTGTCCCACAGCGAGTTGATTCATGTCAACCCTGCAAAAGATCGCCGCCTGATGGGGCTGTTGCTGCCTCTGTGTTCCGTCCTTTTGACAAAAATCCATTTCATTTGCAACTGTGAGCTTGATTGCAGCGCTCGCCGAAGCCCAACTATGCAAAACCATAGCTATCCAGGATTTATGTGATCTTGGTGTGCATATGTGGAAAACTTAAGGTTCTGTGCCACTCCGAGCATGGCCAGGCATGTCCCATAATATGAAGCTGGAGAGCTCATCAGTCCCAGCTGATGTATCACCAGGCACGGACCATGTGTGAGTGCTTGTGCGTGAGAATGCGTGATGTCAAAATCCCAACCTAGCTGACCCTGTTTGAAAGAACCCTCAGGTTGGTATTTCATCAGCATTTCCAGGCATGCTGCCTCAATAAACTATGCTTGCATACTATTCTTGCATACATCTGCACCCACATTTGTGAACCCTATCGCGACTCTCTAGGACAGTGCCACTTGGACCAGCTTGAGCACTCTGAGCTGCGGGCGTGGCTGCCTTCGGCAAAGGCCATGCGGCAGCTACCTCCGACACCCTGCTGCGCGGGGTCTCGCAGGTCCTCCTGTTAGGGCAAAGGGCTTCTGCATAATTAGATGAGTGGTCCAAACAAGGATCCTCATCTAATTGCTCTCTTGGGACTGATACTTGATTATGGGGTCCTTGATACTAACGGGGGGCCAGTATGTGAAGGACTTGATGCTAGCACACACTGACGAAATAAATATGTACACGGAAGAGGTAAAACATATGTCCCCGTGGGCCGTCCGTTGAGCTAACTCGTCAGCCTCAGCATCGATGATGCTCTCTTCAATGTTGGCAAACTCGGCATCGCTCTCATTGTGAAACTCAAACGTAATGCAGCTGCCGACCTGGGCATGCTTGTGAGAAGGTAGGATTCACTGGTCACAAGCTTCGGCAAATACTCGCAGAGGAGGTACATTCATTAAATGACTCAGCATCAACTGTGAAGACGGCAAACGCGACCAGACTCCTGTTCTGAGCGGTTGTCCTCCGATAACTGCCTCAAGAAGTCCTGCGCGCTACCCTCACTACGTGCTCTACTTCGGATATGAAGACAATGAAAAAACCGACTGCAAATGTTAAGCATAATCGAAGTACCAAACAACAGTAACTAACAACATGACTCGAAGCTGTAGGAGGAATGTCAGGAACGTCAGAATGATGACCCTGGCTGGGTTTCTAAACCTTCTGAAGCGGGTTGCAGTACTCAAATACATCAACTTGGAGCCAAGATGCAAGACATCAGAACCTTCCCCACGATGAGATCGTATAACCATGTCTGTCCCACTACCTAATAAGCATATATACAACACCAGAACGTTTGACAGCACCAGAACCAAAGTACTGCATGTTTCAAAAGCTGAAAACCTCAAACAAATCGACTGAGCTTCGCGGCCCAAGTCAATGCTTGCATGGTGCCCTGGAAGCCGTCAAAGCATGTCCAGGAGCCCTGCAAGGAGGAGGTTTCCAAACAGGATCCTACAAAGACATGTAAAGCTATTGCCTTCATGAAGGGTTGGAGGAAGGGTAAACGTCCAAGGACTCTTTGAGATTGAGTGCGCAAGCTTAATTGCTACCAACATTGGGAGCCTGGCGGCTTCAGGAAGGGATGCATGTGACAAAGTTCAACTTAAGACTTAAGGATTCCAAGCTATGGAAATACTTTATGGAATCCCCAAAGAGAACCCCGGCAATCCTTTATGCCATACGCCGGAGGTTTTGCGGTTTGCGCCCGCGAAAGTTGCAGTGGTTTCAGAGCGCGCTCTGCAGTATCATTCCTACTAGCCACAGAGCTGAGGCATCTCGAGTGCTGAACGCTGGTGTGCCTGCAGCCCCGTACTGCGGCATGCTTCACCAGCCTCGGACCACGAAACGCTTTCACAAAGCGAGGGTGATCAAGCGAAGATTGGGGAGCAAACGGATTCTGAATGCCTTGCCCTCAGCAGCCTAACAAGGCTCCAGTGGGTAAACATCTTTGCATGCTGAGACCGCTGCTGCCCTGAGGTACAGAGTGAAAGTCGCGGAAGGTGTCTTGCCTGGCAGCTCATCCCACTGTGCTGTAACTTGGGCAGCGCTCGGCTTATCATGTTGGATGTGCACCTTTTGTGGAATCTTTTTTCAACCTGGCTTGTGCTCATGGACTTCCATGGGAATTTGACCGCGATTCGCTCAGCACGCAGGCACCAAAATGACGACCCAGAATACCAAGCCCAGGCTGCTTGTTTGCAAGGAAGAGTTGCAAGCAAAAAACAGTATGAGTATCTGCTTTGTAGCCAAAATCCCCTGATTCAATCATTCCCCTGCCACCCCATATTACACCCCACGCAACCTTTAGCATCTATACAACCTCAAAAAGGCCATATTTAACTCTGACCCTATATAACAACTCTGAAGCCCCTCAGCTTTGAGTGGAGCTGCTGGCACAGTCGTGCTCGGCAGGGGACAGCTGTCTCGAGGATAGGCGTAGGGCCCGGCCCACATGGCCCAGTCCTTAGGAAGGCAGATGGTCTGGTAGAAGGAGTTTGTTAGGATATAGAAGCCAGGTACAGGGATTCAGTAGATAAGGTAGGAATAACAGCTTTCTTGGAATAAACGTAGGAGGAAAGGAACTATCTGACGAACAGCGAATATGCTGTGTCTTTCATGGTTCGATACTGCTTGTACTGAAACTGATGCATCCGTTTTCAGGCCAGGCTTACGTTCGTTTAGCGGTGCGAGCAAGAACCCTGACCTCAAGGAACACAGGTTTAGGGCTACAATGCATAAGCAGGGCTTCTGGGGCGGACTTGGGAATGCCAACTTAACTACGTATGTATCTTCCGAAGCTACTTAATTAAAGCTTTCCGTATTACCCAAATAGCCGCTGCTGGAATTTCATGATGGCATTATTCTTCCATCTCCGCATCCTTTTCTTTTCATCATCCGTTACTATAGATTTAGTACGGCATTATGAGCTTTGCATACATCTTGCGTGAATGACAGTCTGCCAGGCACGCATGCTGTTGATCGCATGCTCCTTTTGCGCGGCATGGCTGAAGGGTCCCGGAGATAGCTCTGTGGACCTAGAGATGCCCCTTGACTGCACAGGTGCAAAGCAGCATGCGCAAACAGACCACAGTCTGCGTGACAATGCTAATTACCCACCAGTGTGGGAGAAGTCTTCGAATTTGATGTGCAACAGCAGTGGGCTGGATGCATGTGACAGCAGAACAGCCAGCAAGTGTTGAAGGGGCAAGCTAGGCATCGACCTGCTAATTGTACTAACTACGCTCTGCTTCGGTCAAGGTCGTCTACAGCTCACCACGACGGCTAATGCCATGCTCATGCGAACGTCTCCGGGACCGGACCCAATCGCCAGGCCAACTCAGGGAGAGCTAGGAAAGCCTTGGAGCAAAGACTAGACTCATAGATGTACATAATATGATTTTTATATGTCAGAAAGACTAGCTGCTAGAAAAGTGCTATACTCGTAGCACTGCTAAGGAAAACGCTGTAATATAAACACACGTTAGACACATGGACCTGCAAGCCGCACCAGTTTTCAGGTGCTTCTGACACAGCGACAATTTCACACTGCAAGTCCACCAAGGCATATGACAAAGCCATGCGGCGACGCAAAGCATTGCACCAGCAAGTACAGCAGGCGACTCCTGGCAGCTGTCAAAGACATGCTGTGTCAAAGTGCTGAGATACAGTTGATGAATGTTGATGGGGGAAATCTTGCACCACCTAGGGCCTCCAACTACAGTAATTCGTGCAGTATGATGTGGCGAATTGAGGGTGGTGCAGGATTTCTATTATCACCAGTAGTTCCAAAGGCCTTGGACATCTTCTCATCATGTTCATGCTCTGGCCATGATCTTTGGGTCAGCTTCTTGGCCTCCCATTACACCCTCTAGCTGAATCCTTCTGAATCCGAGCGAAGACCTTGCTCTCAGATTCATGCATCATAGCATTAGTCATTGGAGGTCCCGTATGTAACGCTGAGAGAAATCGGCCCGTGACAAGGACTTCAAACCCTCAGAAAGCTTCATGCAACCTTGCAGAAGGGATGCATTATGTCTCCCCTCTTACATTCTTCTACATAGACCTACTGTGTATGGAGGAAACCATGCACCACCTTTTGTCTTCTTGGGCCCCCAAAGTATGTTATGTTACCGAGCTTTGGGCATCTTAGGATTCAAAAAGCACAAAGCAGGTATACTTGCTACCCTTTTGGACCCAATGTGGGTAGTGTTTATCCTGATAACCCCAAGCCCTGAACCCGCACCCTAAGCCCAGAACCCTAAACCCCGACTCCTGCCCTAAACCCCAAAACCCTGAACCTGAACCCTAGACCCTGAACCCTTTTGCAACAGGTTTCAGATCCCGGTGGCGACTCCCCCTGCACGTGAACCCTAAACCCTGAACCCTTTACTAAAACCTGAACCCTAAATCCTAATTCCCAGAGCTCTCCTGCAAGCCGATGGCACGAATGAAGCAAGCAGGCTTAAGGCTGCTCAGGTCCCCCTGGGACGCAACCCCAAGCTGATTTTGGGTTTAGGGTATTTAGGGTTTAGTGTATTAATATAGGGTTTACAAGGGTTTAGAGTATTTGGGGTTTAGGGTTTAGAGTATTTTGGGTTTCTGGGGTTTAGGGTCTATGTGGTTGGTAGGGAATAAAGGAATCTGTTATATAGGGGTTAATTCCCCACGAACCACCAGTAAGTTCTATATGGGTTATAGTGGGATACAGGGTTATATAGGGCTACATACGGTTACAGGGGTATACAATATGAGGGTTGTAGGGGAGGAAATCAGATAATCATGCACCACCTCATGTACTCTACGTTTTAGGAATTGCAGTATTGTGGGATCCTAAATTTCTCAAGATTTCCTGCATCCACCGAATGGGGCCCCAAAGAAGGGTTGATTGAAGATCATGTGGTGATTTGTTTGAGGCTTCTTTGGGGGCGTGCGGTACTCAAGATGGCATCCCTTAGCATGAAAGATCCCCAAAGATGGAAATGAGGGGACTTGGGTTCAACAAATGCAGTTGTTGTCTCAAAAGGCTGTCAGAATCAGTCCAAGAGGCAAAGATAGGCTCCAAGGCAGCGCGTGCCCTTTGCACTGCTGCTGCGGGAGCCGAGGTGGTCGCGGCACACTGCTCAGAAATCGACTCTACCTTGGGTTCGGAAACCTCTCAGGAAACGCATTTTATGGCTCTGAATCTGTCGCGCTCACCCCCACACCATGTTATATACACCTTTGGCGCGGCCTGTTGTTACATACCTTTGTCGCGAATGCTTGACACAGGTATGCGCCACAAATGAACCTCGTCGCAACGGTGCTTGTCGCAAGCCAGAATCAGAGAATTCTGTTTCGAACCTATGTTGCGGAGTGGCCGCCCAAGCCTGCTTCAAAAAAACACAGCCATAAGGGGCCCCATATTAAGAGACCATATTCAATCTTAGGGCCCGATACATCCCTAGCACGACAAAACCCCTTAACCCCCTAAACCGCAATCCCAAAAACCCCCACGACCCACGTAAGCTAAGCTCAAGGCCTAGGGGGGCAGAAGAATACCGCACAAGAAGGAAGGCTTAGGGAAGCCTTAGTCTTGGTCTCCTGTATTTGTGGCCCTCTTAAGGCTTACAATATGAGCCATAGTCTAAACTCCTTAAAGGGGGACTATATAGGGGAGTATATAGGGGACTACTATAGGGGTTATTAAGGGGGATACTGGGAGTTTAGACAGTGGCTCATATAATCTTTAAAAGGGCGCACCTTGTTTTTGACTAGCAGACAGTGTCAACAATACGGCACCTTGCCAGCCTAGGGATCGTACAACAAAATAAATTCTGCAGGGCTCCTGATCTTCCCACATCTCGGAGCTTCCGTCGCCGCCTCGGGCCTCACTGAACTCCTGCAGGAAATGCATCATGCGAGCTTGTTGGCAAGAATCCAACCTGATGCCAATCTGTAAAACTGCTGCAGATGCAGAACGTCACCCAGCACCTAGAACATGCGGTAGTCTTTGCTGCTTGCTCCCTAATAAAACAGTCACTGAAGCAAATCAAATGCAGAGTTCACTGGCTCCTCTGCAAGCTCTTCCTCGCTTTCCTCCTGGGATCCTTGCTCTCTGGACTTGTGGGGTTCTTCTCCTCAGGTCGGTACAACTAATGGTCTCGGTCGTAAAGGTCACTTGAAGGAAGCTGGCTGGCAAAGATGGACAAGTATCCGCCAAACGCTGATGGCTCGTCTGCAGGGACGACTCCAGCTGCAGTGTCAGCTGAGCCTGCGGAAGTATGCAGACGTCCCATGACCACGGAACGACTCCAAAACTGCCATGGAAGAAGTACTTTCTCCATCACTACAAGAACTGCAGCGAATTCGATGAGAGTGTGCAATTTGCTATACACGGTCTCCTTGTGCAGCCATGCTCGCGCCCAGGGTGCTTGGAACCTCCTCTGCGCAAGTCTTTCATGGAGTCATGCGTGGCAAAGCCTGGCTACTAGGGAACTCTTGCACGTGTGGAAGCCGAGGGCAGTCACAGTCTGCTCCATTTTGTGGGAAGCTATGAAAGATCAGAGCAGCAGCAGGTTTGCATTGTGAGACTCCTGGCAGATCATCAGCAAGGGCTCGATGCAGGATGTCTGCTCAAATCGCCCAAGGATACTAGAGGACGAGGTGGTCGTCCTGATTGCAAGTTGCTGCAGGAACACTCTCCCTACCGTAGCTGCCTCATCACTTCTCTCATCAAAAAGATGCCCGTTTTGCCTACTGTGTACGCCTTGAAACAGCTATACTCGGGGAGTAGAATTCTGTAGGTTATGGTTAGGGCCAGCAGCTTTCGCGTTCAAGTCTCCTGGGAGACGGCCGGTTGCGACCTTCTTCAAGACGCAGCCGAGCACAGGCCTAAGTACTGCGCCCAACCGGAGAAACCTGCAAGAAACCTGCTGCTGCTGTGTAGCGGGGGATGCCTTTCTTTTTTGCACTCCGAGCAAGACTCGCGGACTATCCTGCATCACAGTAGCTGGAAATGAAATGCACATTTCGACTGCAAAGGCCCACCGAAATGAAAGCTCGCGAAATCAAGTGAGTAAGTTGCATTCGACCCACTCCAAAGAAATAATTTTGCATGCTTTCAAATAAATTCTGAAACAAGAAGTGCACTGTATTCAATTAACATGGCAACACCCCTTGGGCCCCTGCTGAAGCTAGTTCCGCGGTTAGCTCCGCACGGGCTGGCGTGACCTTCCCAAGGAAGGGCAGGCAAATACAGACGATAGCGGCAATTCCGTGCATGGCCCTTATCTGTATCCACCACAAGCTAGTCAGGAGCCTGCTTTTGTAGCAACAATCTGGGGAACCAGACTAGTCAGCAGCATACTACCAGGTAGGAAATGAGCTTTCGTCCAACTTCGATGTCCGTTTTCATTAGGTTTCTAAGTATGGTCTGCTGCCCGCAGCTCTCCCAATCAGGGGCAAACAGTGCTCGAGGCCATCTCCAAAGTCTCTGTCTCTTTCTCTCGCGCTCGACGTCCCATCTCGCTGCCCAGGCATCCGGGCATTGGCAACCCGGCTCAGCACGGAGAACACTCACATAGCCCAGCTCAGCCCTCCAACTGCAGTTTGGAGGGTCTGCGACTCTTATACGAGAATCAAAGTGCGCATAGACATGAAGCTCAAACGAGGGTGGGTCGATTCACTGATCGTGTTCACATAGTCTCTAAGGCTCTGCCTCATCAAGAGTGGTTTGTATTTCCTACTGTCATCCCTATGATGGTCACGCTGTTGCATCATAATGAGAGGCTAAAGTCGTAGAAACGATGCGAAAACTGACCGTATATATTGGGCTTTGCGTTGAACCGACTTAGTAACTTCGTTTCAAACTTAGATTTAAAACGCAGCGCCTTAACTCCAGATTTCAGTGTCCCTAGTGGTCTCTACACAGCTTTCGCTTCAACTCCAAGACGTGCAACGCATGAACGTTTCATTTGACCTACCAGTACCTCACTTGTCCAAGCCGCCTGAGTCACTGAGGGATGATCACTTCGGCTACACTGTACATAGCATCCACGGCATGCATGGGACCTGGAGTTCGCGATTTTCGGCATCGAGGTCCTGCAGGCGGATGGGCATTCCGAATCACTCCGTATCTACCAACCTCCACACAGGCTGTTTGACAAGCAACAATGCGGTATAAGGGGTAATTAGTCCGGGTCCAAACATTATAATGGGGAAATGGCATGGCTGACCAGTCACGTGTGGGCACGAACCATGTGCGTAGGTTGAACTAAGCTCGTAATATGCATGCTGTCATTGTTCGATAGCGGCCTTAATGACGTCGCTGCATGAATTTCAACAAATTACGCCTCTTCTGACATGTAATTCTTTACTTGGGTTTCCGTGTTTCAAGCCTGCTCGCACCCCGCAACATCACCACTAAATAAAATCTCGCGTTGCCTGCTTCCTGCTTACAGCCCTTAGTCTTTACATCTCGCCGACTCCTACGCGCTACAGTAATACCCTGACACAAGCTTTTCGGAAAGGGTTGGAGCACCATGTTGGGAACTCGGCCGCTGGGGCGATACGCAAGCACTCCTAACAATGAATGCGCTGGGCAAATGCTTGCCAACATGGGTAATGAAAGTACTAATTACTGCCCCTAGTCCAATGAATACCAACGAGCAGAGTTCGAATCCCCTTACAGTATGAGAAGCACAAAGAGTAGCTTCCAAGCAGGAAGGACCTCGAAAGGTTCGCCCGAGGAGAATGATTCCACATAGCCTGTATGGACCCCAACAAAGCAGGCCTACTCACAACCACAGCGATGACAACCCAGTTTGAAGCCTGGCAAATGCAGTTAACATGGGAAGCATGTATAGGGAGTTTGTGATGAATACTCTGTCTCATGCTTGGTGGTCTCTTTTTCCTACGTAAGCCAATCTAAGCATGCATGCAGGTGCTACGTCAAGAGACCACCAGAACAAATACGCCCGGTCCTCTAAGGAAGAAGCTGTCTCGTCCATCTGAGGAGCCTCCGAGCACAACACCAAATTTAAGACCTGTTTCTTCAAATCCTAAATCCTATACGCCTTGAGACCTGGTAGCAATGCTAGGAGACCTCCAAGATTTGGTGCTTGAATTTATTTAGCTCACATGTTAGCAGCGCACAACTAGCTGAGATCCGCCACAGCCCCGAGACCCTGCAGCCTGGACCAAGGCAGGACGCTCCGTTGGCACGCTGTCATGACTGCCTGGAGATGTGAGCTTCGCAAGGAATATGTATAATTGCCCCTCGAAATAATGAGATCCTGTACGTGACGAATCCTACAGATCGACCAATAAGTTCGGGGAAACCCGCAAATACTCCGCAAAATTGTTGGCATCTGACAGTAATGTTAGACGATGTCTTTCAACAAGCTGTCACAAGATCACCTTCAAGTCCGCGGAGCGCAGGGCGCAGCTAGCTTTATGTCCAAGGTCTACAATACATTAGTACAATGCAATGACGATTAGCGTAGCCGATTTTCCATGAGGGAAAAGAATTTGGACAGATGACCAGCAGGACCCTACTTTCTGAAGGGAAGCTCGACCACAGAATCTTTAAGACACCCAACAACAAGCACCCAAATTTCGCCAGGGTGCCTCTGTCCCGATCCGACTCTGTCTCGCTGATAGATGCTGGTGGGCAACCCTTGGGGATGGGCGAGCAGGCCGCGAGCCTGAACATGACCAGGACGAGCTAGAAATATGTAAGTTCCAGGAAAATGTTCTACATATAGACTCATAACACTATAGGGCAAGAGACAACACCCGACATTGGCAAACACTATGAAAATGAAGTCTAGCATTGCCGAGGCTGCGCCAAACAAAAATGCCTTGGAAATGGAGCTTGCTGGCAAAGCTAAAGTCGACGGATCCCGCAGGCCATACTATTTTTTTCTAGCTCTGCATGGTCCCATGGTGGATGGAGGGCATCTTGCACCACTTGAGATTCTTATCATCATATGATATCATATGGTTCCAATATTACAAAGTATTTGAAGTGGTGCAAGAGTGTCTTTTGCCCACAGTATCAACGATAGGGTACATTCCCTGCAGTGCCAGGTACGTTAACTTGAGAGCAGTGTGAAAAAAAGCCAGGACCCATGTGCATTGGACACACGCAGCAATCCTGACCATGGAACAAGTTCTTGCCCTGGCTGCGCAGCCCTGTCACTGCTTCCCCGAATATTAAAACATATCCCATAGACACTGCCCCTCCGGAAGACTGACCAGTCACCGGACAGAAAAGCTGTACAATGTATAAGGCGAGTGATTGAAGGATGCATATGTGGGCCTTTGTATTCTTTCATAGAAGCTATCCCGTTCTAATGAGAAAATCACGGAGTTGCCTGCTAGGTCTTTTAATTGAACACCCGATATAAACAAGAAGACCCAGAAGTCAAAAATGTAAATTATATTCCTTTCTTTACTGAAGCCTTTAAAGCCACAACTATAACACGTATTTAAAAAACAACTCAAGGACATCCCTAGCTGGAATTCACTTTACTGTGAACTTTCCAAACTAGCACTTTATGAAAAACACACATAAACTGCTCTGGAAATTGGAAATCACTGATTGTTTGTAGTTCCTTGTATTTGCAGAAGGATCCCAGCCCAATGCATTATTATTATCATCCCAGTTGGCCTTATTTCGATGTAGTCTTGCTATTTGGATCCACTGCAAAAACTGAACCCTGTTGGCACAATTGACTTGACGGCGTGTCGCAATCAGAACCAAGGAGTCCAGAATTTGGGCCCTCTTGGGGAGCCTTCACTTGCTTCTTAGGTTGGAAGGGTGATACTTACATGGTTCACCTATACGTTGTCTTCGCACATGACAGTTGGAAACCCTGAAATCTGAACGCACGTTGTATAGCCTCTTTGCGCATGGAAAGCCCCTGAACTTTTCCACGCATGTTTCAGTAGCTTGCAGCCTTATCGTGCTATTCCGTGCTCTCTGGTGAGGATCGCATTGAGAAGCGTTCTAAGAAAAACCTTTATCTGCCATCTTCTGGTGTTGCTTCCGCATCCCGTTCCTAGCTCACGTACAAGCATGTGACACCCAAGCCCTTGCAGGCGGCTTAGAACTAGCCTGCCGAAAAGTGTCAAGAAAAAATGCAAATTTCCTCTCAATCATTGCGTAATCTGCAAATCTGTCCGACATATCTGAGCACCACCAAACTAGACCACCTTTAGGAATCCTGTTCTCAGCATAATCAGCCAATGAAGGTCTTGAAAACTACAGGTGCTGCGACATACTGGTTATATTAGGGTATATATTGGGGCTATATAGGGATAATGGAAAAATGGAAACTACTAGGGTTTATAGGGACTCTATAGGGTATATTATGGTTTATTATCTGCGTACAAAGCTTCAAACGAACAGGTCGGTTTTCATCCCGCAAGCAACATGTGTCTTGCTACTTCTGTGCACCCTTTCTGAAGCTTTCTTGCGTCATTGTACTCCAGCTCTTACATGTGCTTCAGACCATCTATAAGACTCAACTTTCTGTTAATTGTTTGTGCAGTAGCTCGCCTAGGTAAGCACGGGGTTCTCTGGGCTGAATGCCACTGACTAGACAAGCCATCCCAGGATCACAGCTCAGTCTCTTGTTTATGCAAGAGTCAGCTCAACAAATCGTAAACCGCACACCGTTGAATCCCAAGACGAGAAGCAAGCTTGGAGCTTCAGCACTCGTATCCGTTTCCTTCACCTCCACCTCTTGATCCAGCATGTCCGTGCCACTAGCCTCAGCAAAAATGCTTCAGTCATAAACTCTTCATAACTTTGGGTTCTCACATGGACTTATTTGTCTTCGCGAGATGGGTTCCATAAGAGCTTTGCAGCTTTCTTGCAAAAAAAATGACTAGGTGATGACTCACGCGTTCAAGTCAGAGCAGCCGAAGCTTCGGCAAGCGAACCGCAGCTCACATCTTCCTCTTTGGGACACACTGCGGATCTAGTGATGGATTCAGTTGCAAAAGATTTTTTCTTCGGAGTCAGGTAACACTTTCCAGGAACCATTTCCACATGTGAGGCGGCGTCAAAATTACTTGTTTGTTCTCTCTTGGTTTTTGAATTAGGGCGTCCCCTATCGATTTCCACGTTTTGGGGATCTTCTCCTTACCCTAGCTTAAATGAAACAAGCCTACAGTTTTAGGAGGTCCCCTATCGATCTTGGGGATTTTTGCGC